GATGACATGGCCTTTCACCAGTGACCCGTCTTGAAAGGGTTAAGAAAAAAGGGCCATTAACAGATACTACTTTCTACTTGCAACAGCTAATTACTTATTAGCTCATATTTTACTTTTTTCATGCTCTCTATAAGAAAATTAAAGCTGAGTATCAAAGTAAAGGAGGAGCAATGTGAAAATACTTTAAATGATTTCTTGATTCTGCACGAAAAGTGCACTACAACTATTTGTAGTCTTATTTCTTTAAACAAAACTTAATAAACAATTTTATCTTATACTTTAGAATTTATGTTGAAAGCTATTTGAAATTTATGCATAAATTTTTATTTGTTTTTTGAGTAAACACAGCTGAAAATTGAACTTACAGTTTTAGACAATTCGCTACCTGATTCCATAATTCGCAGGCAAAGAGGTATGATCTCAGTAGTCAACAAGAAATTTATTACCTCTTGTTCATCAGTCTGGAAACATAGAAAAAAAAACACATTAAGATTTTAAACAAACACAAGTTAAAGATTAACTTAATTAAAACACTTCTATGGAGAATTAACAAAATATATCATATGTTTATATGATGTTTAACCATGTGATATCTAATTTTACCTCAAATAAAATTAGCAAGAACTTGCACTAAAACATGTTTTGTTGATTATGAAAATAAACCATAATGTTAACAGTTCATCTCAAGTTAGTTATGTTTCAGTAATTATTAGATATAAACTTCCATTTTAGTCAGTTAACTTTGAATCTACAACTGACAGCCATTAAATTTTGCTTAAATATACCACAGGGGAAGTTTTAAATTTAAAACTTTTATAGCACTTTAGTGGCTCAAAAGTTCCTGTTATTATCAAGAATTTTTATTTTAATTTAAGGCAACTTTGTTGTTACAGATTTAAGTAAAACATTGTAACAGTCATGATGTCAATATGAACTAGCTATTTATAATTCATGGTGTTCTGATAATTCTTTAAAATATTCAACAATAACTTTACTTTTAAATTGTAACAATAAATTATTATTTATAGCCTACCTTTACCAAAGCACCTATAACACCCAAGCTAGTTAACCTCAAATATTCAAATGGTCTTGTTTTACTTACAGTATGTAAGAATGGGTAAAGAAACAAAGGGATGTTAGCTGTTTTGATAAAAAGAATAAATAAATACAAATTAGATGCCTGGTTAAAATATTGACAACTTTATATCAATATAAAGAATATTTATTCATGTTTTCTGATCATATTCTACTACTTCAATATACAAACTACACTTCTTAAAAGGATTATTGTGTATTAAATAGTTATTCAGACACACTGCAATGCTTGTCATAAGTTTGTTTCTAACAATAAAAAAAAAAAAAGACTATTTTTGCTATAAAAACCTACAAAAACCCCTGTATTCACTTCATAATAATTATAATTGCACATCAACTGCTGGGCATCATTAAATGTAGTTTGAATGAGTTTAATCTACTGGCACACATTTTCATAGTGATTAATATATTTTTCACTCCTATGTAAAATCATTAATGTGGTCTTATTTATAGGTAGTGAATGACCAGTAAAGTATGAAGTTATTACTTTACACAATGAAAACCCATGGAATATTGCTTCAAAAACTTAATATTCCAAAAGATGCACTTCAAAGAAAATTTAAACATTTTGCCACTATTGAGGGTTTAAGGTCCAATAAGAATGTCTAGATAGAAATTTTAACATTAGATCAAATTCAAACATTCTAACAATTTATGCAGGAAATACATGGAGTTGTTCAACAATGCTTTAAAAAAAGTAACGTTTATCGAAAAGTTGCTGCCAAAAACCCTTATATTTAACACTTACATGGCCAAGCATATAAACCTTGCAAAGGATCACAAAAATTAGAAGGAATAGAAAAATGTATTATGGGCTGATGAAACATGAACTAAGCTTTTGGCAAACTAGGAGATTTTTTTTGTCAAGAAATGTTAACACGAGAAGTTTAAATAAGTGTGTGTAAAAAAAGCAGTGAAACATGGTGGAAGGTTTAAAATGGATTGAGGGTAATTTTCTGATGCAGGAGTGACAAATATTGTTAAAATTGATGATATTGTGATGATGGAGTAGTATCACAACATCCTAGATCTTCAAGAAATACTCACTTGGCTTTTAATTTCAGCAGGATAATGATTCAAAACGTAATGCCCTGGTGAATAGGAGGTATTTAAACAAGGGAAATTCTGGTTATATAAAATTGAAAAAAAAAAAAGAAAAAAGCCAGCCCAGAGTCCCACTGCTAATCCATCTGAATATCACATTTGAAATTTAATGTTGTAAAAGGTTGAATAATCTAGGACTGTAAAGCATAAGTGGTAAGCAGTTGACAGTCTCAAACAAGTTGAAACATCCATGCCATTCAGTTTATGTATGAATACAACAGGTAAATGAAACTTTTCTTTCGTAACCTTTCATGGAAACTTAAGTGATAATACTTTGGATTTAATATTTGGCCAAACTAATTTCTGCAGTATAATGCTTACTCTAAGGGAAAAGAATTAAAATTTGAAAATAAGCAAAAAACAATATAGTTATAGTAATGAGCATTTTAGTTCTTTAGAAGACTTACCTTGCAAGAAAGCTGATCTTGTTTCTGGATGTGATGCCACACACTGCAGTAATGCTAATGCATTACAGACTCTGTTGGATTGCTGTGCCTGAAAAAATACTTAAACTACTAAAACATTCAATACGTGTTCTAAATTAACTATTTTAGGTAGATTTTTTTTTAGAATAACTCAGTAAAATTTTAACACACTTGAAAAAAAAATCATCTGTTCCTGGTTCTTCATATGTAATTTGTTTTTGCATTAAAAACATTTTAAGGTTTTTTACCTATTTAAGAATATCCTGTTGTGTTTAATTCCAGTGATGAGAACTTATTCTTTTCACTGCACTCTAAATTTCATGCTAAATTTTTTTCACTTGCTATAAATCTAACGAATTATCAACACTTATATGCATGAATAATAAAATAGCTTTAATGTTAATAAGATGCTTTACAATAAACATGGACTACTGTGTACATGATATTTTATCTCAACTAAATGAACAGTAACTTGCACCATTGTTTTGTGCTCATTAATGAAAAGCAAATCATCTTGCTGATAACATGTTTTAGGAAAAAACATTTAATGAATAACAATAAATATTTACAAATGAGCCTGTCCGCAGTCTCAAAATACAATAAAAAAGTTTACTTAATAATTTACTGTATAAAGTTAAAATGCCATGAGACTGTGAACAGTCTCATACACTCCACGTATTTATTGTGTATTATTAAATATTTGTTTTTCTTTAAACAACTATGTTATTTAAAATTTACACAAGTATCACCTTAATCCAAAACACATCGATGATGTTTAAACTCAAAATCATATTTCAGTTTTCAAAATAATTATATATACTTTTAATATCTTTCCTGTAAAATTCAAGTAATATATCATTCAAATCAGTACCTTTGGAATTTGTTTTGGCCATTCCTGTTTCTAAGAATTTAATACATGTAGAATTACATATTATTTAATAGATAATGTTTTCTTGGTACTTGTGTATAATGTTAAAATAATAAACAAATAACACAAAACGTTAAAATAAATACACAAAAACATTTTAAATTCAGATCAATCTATGGTTTCTAAAATGTTGACTACACATTTCAACATTTTCCACATCATCATCAGGAGTGAACCTGCGTGACACAACTGACATATATATTTCTTCTTAGCTAAATCTTGTGACCTGTGTGTAGGCTTACTATTTCTGCATAATTCTTAGAGGAGGTCTTGCCACTTTCTTACACAGATATTTGCCAGACCTTCAACTCAATTTAATAATTCATGATCTTTTTTTTTAAACTTATTATTTCTAAAGATTTACAGATATTACTGGCTCTAATACCCTTTGGTTATGCCAATATTACTGTTTTCTCCCATACTGTTATGGGTTGTGTTTTTGTACATGTTCTACTGTGGCCCAATTTTCAGTCCTGTTATTTCTCACACATCCCTATGTTCTGCTAAACAATATTTCAAATTATGTTTTATCTATCCAATATAAATATTTTCACCGTTACATACAATTTTATAAATCCTAGCTTTTTCTGTTAATTGTATATTATTTTTAATATTACCTAAAATTTGTTTTATGTTATTCATCGGTTTAAATGGGGAGTAAAATATTTGTTGTTTTTTAAACATTTTGAATAAAGTAGTAGTTAAACCAGGAAAATATGGCAAAAGTAAACATTCCTTTTGTATTTTATCATAACTAGATTTTAAGGTAATACCTTGATCTATTATTAACACATTACTGAATTTCTTAATTGCTCTATCAAAAGAAGTTGGGTTAAATCCCCTTTCAACTGTTATATATTTCATTAGCAATCTGCAGTCTCTGACACTGGCTCTTAATGGGGGAGTAAGGGCAGGAGAGTGTGAAAGGGGTAGGTATTATTATTAGAAATACATTTTCGATTTAAGAAAATGTTAAATTCCAAAACATACTTACCTTCTCTCACGCTACAGCTAAAATACAACATTGATAAGGTGGAGTGGTAGAGGGCATTACCCATACAGAATGCATCTGCATAGATTGTGAGCATGCTAATAGAAGATTAGCACCCTAGTGGGGGAACCACACTACATCCAGAACAAGTATATTCTTCACCCGGAACATAATTCATGCACTTGTGGGTGGAATTGGACATGATCAGTCATCATTATCGGCCAGGCCCCAACCAGGAACTGAGGTTCCACTTCTCAGGATTGGAATTATAGGGTCATGGTCCCTAAATGCCACGTTGGTGTCTATGGCATTTTGACTGCAATATATATATAATTTTGAATGGATTCCAACCTGTAGCTATAAAGTGATGCATTCTGAGCCACCAGAATCATGACGAGAAGGTAAGCAACACCAAAGTGGACAAACCTTCTCCTCAACCTGAAGAAGTCCAAAAGGCAACACTCCAAACTTGGAATGACGGGATCCTGTATATCATACTCAACCTGAGGAAACAGAACTCATTCTCTCTGGAATTATGAGCTCTCATCCTCACTTCCCATCAAGTGGACAAGGTATATTCCACTTGTCCCAGAAATTATAGGGAGGATATGAAACAAACTGTGCTCAACCAAGAACCCAGGATGGGACCACTCTATGTTCCAAATTATGAGAAGACAATGGACCCTCTTCCATGAATGTACTGAAGCAATATTGAATAAAAATAAGGGCCATTCTCAACCCAACCAGTAATTCAAGTAGGTTCCCACATACGTTTGTGCCTCTCCTGCCAACATCTGTGGACAGAGGTTTTTCCTTCAGAGTGTTAGAGTGAATTTCCTCCACTCTTGAAGAAGAGGGTGCGAAGTTGGGGGCCCTCCTACCCAGGACCCTGGATTTTTTTCCCCCACCACTCCAGTGACTAGAAACCAGGTGTGGTAAGGACTCTCTAGCTCCAGTATTAGAATATGGGGGGGGGGGGGGAATAATGCACATTGGAGAGTCCTGAGGTACGATCCTCTGGATACAGTGCTACAAGTTAACCAAATTTCCTAAATTTTGAAAAGCAAACCATGAATGGCAGTCCAGCACAGTACAGTAATAGAAGAATCCAGTTGGGTAAAGATAATTGATCTACTACCAAATTCACCACCCTCGAAACATGAAAATCTAGTAGGATGATATGATGGGAGTAGGCCCAATAAAGAAGATCCAATGTTTGAAAACAAAGAGATCCAAACCAAGTACCTCCTTGGTGGGAAATGTAAGACACCAACATGGAATTGTCGGAGTGAAGCGTGATGATTTTTCCCCTCAATACGTCCAGACCTTGAGACATCGCCCTTTGAACAGCAAGAAGTTCTAAAACACTGTAGGTAAGCCTCATCATCTGTCCATAGGCCCTGGAATTCCTGACATTTGAGATATGCACCCAATCCCTGAGGCGAGGCATCTATGAAGAGATGGATCTCTGGATGAGGTGGTGGCAGAGGAACACCTATCATAGTAGTGTTCTGATCTAACCACCGCTCGATATCAAAGATGTTGATCCTGAATAAGAAGACTGGAGAATCTAGTGGATTGCTGTTCATGATCCATTGGTCATGTAGAGACCACTGAATGGATCTTATGGGCAATCATCCCAAAGGAATGAGAGATTCAAGTGATGCCCAAATCCCCAAAAAAGAAAGAACCATCCACACAGTGGAAGAAGGATAAGCAAGTAAGAATCAGACTGTCTGTTCCATAGTGTGGAGCCAGATGGGAGTTGGTTGAGCCTGACTGAGATATGTGTTGAAAAAGACACCCAAAAGGACAATATATTGAGTTGGAGTGAGAACAGATTTCTTGGCTCTGATATTAAAGCCTGCCTTAGTTGCTTCTGAAAGTACAATTTGGGTGTGATGTTCCACCAACTGATAAGTTGGTGCCAGCAGTAACCAGTCATCCATGTAATGCTGTGTGCACAGGCCTAGAGAATGGAGGGGACGAGAAAAAGCTTGTACAATTCTGAAGAACATATATGGTGTCAATGCTAATCCGAAGGGTAAAACCTTGAACTGCAGCACCTGACCCTTGTGTGCAAAATGCAGATAGTGGTGGGATGACTCTGCTATGGGAACATGTAGAAAGGCGTCAACGACATCAAATTTGGTCATCCACAGTCCTGGCAAAAAATGGCCAATGCAGAGTGAGTAATGACTCCATTGTGAACTTTGGAGGATATAGGAATTGATTTACACTAGAATGATCAATGACCAGGTGCCAATCTCCCATCCTCTTGGGCACAACAAACAGACAGGAGCAAAACCCTGGAAGAACTGGGATGACTCTCCCCAATGCCCCCTTGACCAACAAATTTCTGATAGCCTTGGAACAAAGTTCTGAAATCCAAGAATCTGCAGGAGGCAGAAACACTATAGGTTGGGGATGGGGGGAATAATGGTGGTGGATATGCGAACTGAATGACTAATCCTGATGCCAGGACCTGTAATATCCATCGATCTATGGTAAAGGTTTTCCACACGTCCAGAAATTCTTGGAACTGAGCCAACACAGACCCCAAAGGCATACGGTAGTCACCACCACTGCTGGCACCATTCCAACCGAGCAGAGGAACCTCGTAGATATGGCAGAATAAGGGAGCTCAGGTAATTCATGGAGGATGGCAGCTGGTAGATGAAAGCCCTCTAACAACGCATCTCTATTCAATAACATACCAGACAAGAGACCAAAGAAAGTACAGAAGCTGACAATTGAACCAAGGTAGATGCCAACAATGATCCTAACTTGCCATCAGATTGATGTGGCAAGTGCTGAGAGGCTTCTGACAAAAGTTGGAGGGATGATAAATATCTCAGAACCATTGTTAGGGTTAGATGAATCCTAGAAAACTGTGATCTATTCAAGTTGATCACAGACTCTGTTCTGAAACCACACATTTCCAGGAGCGGGTCTAGTCTTTGAGAGTCTAAATATGCATCCATCTGGTGGTGGTAGGCTAAAGCATGTTGTTCTGACAAACGTGGCATACAAGGCATAGCCGTCCCTTTACGTAACTGAGCAGTAACTTTCCTTGCATGAAACAAAATATCAGGGAGAAACACCACCAGACTGAATATATGACTCCATCTCACTACGAATAAAGTCACAGACAGCCTCAACTGAGAGTACCCCCTCCTCCAACTGTTAAGCAACACTAGATATCAAAGGTGGGATAGAAGAGACCTGATTTACCTTCGTGCCAGAAATGGTAATTCATACATCAGCTTGCCAAAGGGGAAAAAATTGTTTTACAAAAATTAACTATGTGACACAAAGAAAAATCAAAGTGTTTCCAATGGTTGTAGTGCAGAGAAACTCATTATTGAACACTTTGTCAAGAAAAAGTGATAATATTATCTGAATGAGGTGCTTACATACAGTACCAGGATAGAGAGTGCATTGATGTGGAGAGTGTCATGAGATAGATATCACCAAGGGCAATTAAATGGGGAATGAGAGACTGGAGCAAGCGAGAAAACAATCAAACCAATGTTTAGATGGGCAAAGGAAGGAAACCCTAGCAGTCGTGTAATATCTATAGTGTGAGAAGAGATATGTATGTATATTTATCATTTGCTACAAAAGAAAGTCTGAATTTAGAGATTTTACAAATTCTTTAAATATCTTAACACATCTGCCATATGAAAAGACTGATGACAGAAAAACATGGGGTTATCTTATGTTTGTGTGATCTTCTGTTTTCTCTTCTTTGGTCAACTTGGCTTGATAATCATCATCTATTTTATTTCATTGGTAAATATGATGATAAAATGAAAGAGAGTTGATATGGTATGGTCTGGCAAAAGATAAATTGTTTTGTTTCATAACAGCCATCAAAAATATATTCCTTGAAAAAAAAATACAATCAAGTTATTTGTAATTCTACTTACAGTAAACTCATTTTTAAATGCACAATATGTATGTTAAATCTTCAAACAAAAGTATAGGTTTACACTAAGTGATATTAATCTGAAAATTTTTACTCACTGTTAATGTAGATGGATTGATGGCAGGATATATGTTTATAATTTCTTGAAGCAAAGCAGCTATTGTTCCAAAAGAATGCCATAACATAGTTGCAAGTTCTGGAACAACCTCACGTTTTTTGCTATTGAAGAAAAAATATTACTGACTGAAAAAAACATATAACCTCAATGAATAATTAGTAAAGTACAGGCAACCATTTTGTCTGATATCTTATTATTTAATTCCTGATCTAAGCCAACTGAACTTCATAAGATTGTCAATGTTCTGGAATTACAGCTGAAGATATTGTTAGCAGCAAGGGCATTATCAGTTAGAACTGGTTTTATTATACAGGCTACATTTAAGTTATGATCCACATAGTTGGCTTACTTTTGATGAGAAGTTATAAATAAATGCCAATGAATTTTCACTATTCTCATTTCATGTATACAAGAGATGTGTTACCAAAACCTAATTGACTGGTCTCTCGGCAAAACTCAACATTTTCTACAAGCATGTTTAACATTCCTTCAAATAATTTTCATTATAATTTGTTTTGACATACACAACTAATCATAAAGTGTTAACTTATTTTTGGAGGATATTCTTTTACTTGAATGATGGAAAAAGTGTGAACTTAGTGTACCAGGTTTTCAAAAAACCTTTGGTAAGGATTCACAGAGATTAGCCAAGAAAATTCCATTGGTGAGTGTTAGGTAAATATCAGTTCATTGGACTGAGTTAGCTGGGTGAATGAAATCAAAAATGTTATTATTAATAGGGTCCAGTTGAGCTGTATTACTAATATACTATGCTAGGCGTCAGTGCTTGGACCTTTCCTTATTCTTATTTACATTAATGACATTAATAGAGGCATTAAACTTGTGGGTATTTCTAGCTGTATTGAGGATGCTGCAGTACTAAAGGTCAGCTTGGATCAAATTGGTTTTCATAACTTGGATTGCATGTTTAATATAAATGAGCATCTACTCAATAGCAAGACTAGAAAATGGGATATTGGCATGTGGTAGATTAGTATCTCAAGTCATTGAGAAAATGCTTTTTTGCTGGCAGTAAAGCCAACAGAAATTTAGGATATAGTTATGGATACAATGATTACAAGTCAAAAAATGTAATTTTTAAAGTCTTTAGGTAGTCCTCACTTAGAAGATTGGTAAATTTTTAGTCTTCTTATTTAACAAGTGTTACTGACCCACTGGAAACAATCCAGGAGAGAGGTAACAGGATGATTCCAAGGGTGAAAGGATTTTATTACGGTAATAAGTTAAGATCTCTTAACTTAATTTCTCTTAAGAAAAAAATGGTAAGAGGTGACGGAAGTTTACAAGATTATCTGGAGGATCAACACGGCAAAGGCCTCTAACTTCTTTGCACTGAATTCTATAGATAGTAGATGAAAGGAAACAAATTTAAGGTTTAGAAAAGACGGGCTAGGCTCCAATTAGGAGAGTTTTATTTTCCTCATAGAATCATTAGCTTAAAGACTGAGCATAATTTCTACTTTTTCTTGGTGTGGGTATGCATAGATAGCTTTGAAGGACCAAATAGTCTCTTGTTGCTAACATGTTAATATAAAAATCTAAAATCCAAAGTCTTGTGAGTTGAATTAATAGGTTAACCTGTAATAGAAAAACAAATTTTATGTCAATAAACATAAGGCTACTTACTTTATTATTCTTTTTTTAATAAAAAATAATAACATCCATACAAATGATGTGATTATTGATATAATTTTTAAATTACAATCTTATATATATATTACGAACTGTGGTGTCTGTCCAAGAGTTTTTCTGTCTCCTGTCTGAAAAGCTGTACATGTAGGCAAAGTTCAATATTCACTTTTGAAATGACGGGAGGACTGGCAGGAATAATTTTGATGTCAAATTTTATTTAGCAAGCAGGATATTCTTCATTAAATTGTCAGGAATTAATCATACTATCATTCACATTTCAAAATGTGACATAACTTAAAGAATGAAAATGTAGATTTATTGTATGTTATTGTTGAGCAGCTCTTAGCATGACTGAAATGCTCAACAATTACTTTTTGCAGTAGGCAGTATAAATAGCTCAGAGCTTTGCTTGTTATTACATAAAAAGTATCAAATAAAATCCATGTTATGAAGATAAACTGTCAATGAATAAATTAAAACATACTAATATTTAAGTACTCAAAAATATCACTTACAAATATTTGAGAAAATCAACATAATAAACTAGATATACCTTCATCTCCATTTTTCATATTTAATTACTTTAAAAGCTAATAGGCTTAACATTCATACTAAAAAAAAACTATCTTTTGACTATTGGTTCATATTGAAGATTCAGCAATCTGAAGTTAAAAATAGCTCAGAACAAACTATTTTGCCAAGATATTCCAAAACTACTTCCCACTGCTCAGAAGCTATTGTCATGGAATTATTATTCGGTATCAATGAGGTAAATGCAATTGAAATTAAGTTAAGCAGTCTACTTTAAAATTTGCTGTGTAGTTAATATTATACTGCACCAAAAATCATTTTTAATAGATAACAGATGGGAAATTTATTTTCAAAATAATTTTATTTGAAATTTTTCATTTCAATGTTCCAAAAAGGCTGACACTACTAAAAACAATATAGTGATTGAAAATAAAAAATTCAATAAAAATTCATACTGCCAAGATACCAAAATAGTGCAGTAACATGACCTATAAAGAATCATGATAGTTAATGCATCCCAGTGTCTACATAATACTGACGGGAGGGTGGGTGACAAGTTTGTTGCCTCTTCATTTCAGATAAGTAATGAGTGTTAAATTTACAAATGTTGTTTGGAACACAGCAATCAGCAAAAAAGAATGAAATCTTTTATTGTCTCTTCATTTCAGACAAGTGAAAGCTACACTATTTGGAATGCATCATAATGCTGGGCAAAATACTTGAGTCAAGTAACTATGGGAATGTTTTCAAAAGAGATAGCCAGGTGTTGTTGAATTCTTTGCTGAACCGACTGTTATCAGTTAGGTGAAAGTAGAAGGCTTCTTTTATTTATTTTTCTTGTGAGTGTGATTTATATCCTATCATTTTATTACTCTATATAGTCTTCATCTTTAGCATTATGGGCTATTACAGAAAGATCAATATTAGTCTTGTATGTCTATTATGTTCCCAAATTCTAACTTTTACTTGTTTTCTTTGTATCTCCAATGTATTGGAATCCACATTCACATGGAGTGCTTTTTTTTCTCACCAATGGGTCTTTGTGTACAAATTGGAATTGTATTGTATCATGATTTCTAAATACTGTTCTGACTTTACATTGTTTACATAACCTCCGTTTTTTGAAAGACCTCTGACACAGGATAATATAGCTTTATATCTGTACTTTTCTTCCTGATTATTTTTGGTGTTTATCTTCTTTACCAAGCATTCTTGATATTCATTGTTGAGGAATGCTGTAGTGATGTGTTTTTTCCATCTTCTTACCATCTCCAGCACTAAAAATCTTGTTCTTTCTCAAAACTAAATGGTCTATGATATCTGTCTTTACAGCACTGGGGTGGTTTGTTTTATAGTCAAGGTATCTACCCATATTTGTAGATTTCCTGTAAACTCTTGGGGTGTATGAGTTGTGTCTTGGTAACCATCTTATTAAAGAATGGAAGTTTATCATCTTTTTCTCATTCAGTTGTGAGCTGTACTACAAGATATCTGTTCAGGTAGTTCATAAATCCTTAAATCTTTTCTTTTAAGATGTGACCATAATACAAATGCAACATTACCACATCCAAAGAAATCTTGGGACATATAGCGGATGTCCTAAGGGTGTTAGCTTTGATTTGTTCCAAGTAGAGATTACCGAGTACTGATGATATGAGTGAGTCCACACATTGAAAGTAGAATGTGCTGATACAAAAGATTGCGAGTTGTATTATTGTGGAGATTGTCAGTTGGGTGCATTCCTTAAGAGTTCTATCATTTTCAAGTTGTTGGCAGAGTTTATCTGTAGTATATCATGGACTGGTATGTTAGGAAAGAAGTTTGATATACTAAAGCTGATCATTCTGTCTCGTGGGGTTGTTGTGGTTGCTTTTATAATCTCTACAAATGGGCCGAGTTTTTAATGTGTGCAGATGTTTCAGTGATATTATTATTATATCTACCAGATACCTAGCTAAAGGGTGTTATGGTGAATGTCTGCAGTTAACTATGAGCTGGAGAGGGTAGTCTTGTTTGTAAATTTTAGGTAAGCCATAGGTGTGTGTGCAGTAGTGATGTTGTGTACTGTTAGTTGTTTGATTATTCCTCTTTCTGAATTGTGCTCAATTGTAAATTCACAGAGATTCATATTAACACTTACAAAATTCTTGAAACATTTACCTTTACAGTGGCTACCTTAAAGTATGATCACTACAGATGCTGGGTTGTTTCATCCATTCATTTGATCTCATATTAAAAAGAAGTAAAAAAAATATTCAAACTGTAAGCTATAAACTTGGTGAGTGTAATCAAAGCACTGCCAAAGAGCACAAATCAAGTTTCCTTACAATTGTAGAAATAGGGAGTGGACCATTTTATCAATATAAAGTATTTGACTTAACTACTTGCTTTGCATTACAAAGACCCATTGTAGAACAGTATTACATACAACCCTTGAAACATGAAAACCAACAAATGTTTCATAACACTAATCAAGTTTAATGGGGACCTGTATGAACATTTCTAGCACCTAATAATATTACATATACAGTATGAACATTCTTTTTAGCCACAGCACAGTGGCTCAGAGTTTTTGGTATTTTTTCATGTACAAACTTTTAGCTCATAATTCTGTCATCTCTTGACCGTTTTGAGTTCTAATTACAGTTTTGGACTTGGGAGGTTAAACCCTTTTGATTGATGTATTTGACCATACCTAAGGTCTCAAAGATTAATTTACTCTAATCCTGCCTAAAAAAAAAAAATTTGATGGGAGGCTGGTAAAGTTTCTGATGAGTAATAAAGTTGAATCAAGTATATGCACGCTGGCACTCAAAAATATAGCTAAGAAAAAGGGAAAAAAAGGTTCATAGATTAATTTATTCTAACCCCACCTAAAAGAATTTCAAGTGCCATGGATATTGAGGATTCCCTCTTGTTGTTCTTATGAACCAATTGATAGGCGAGGTATTCTTGTTTCAAAACATTCATAGGGAGCAAGATCATTCCACTTCATGTTTCTAACTGTATATGTAAGAAATTCTGAATGGATGTAGAAATGATTGTTACTAAATGAATGAATAGCTGGGTTTAATAGGTTGCTTTGGAGTTTCAATGTTTCAAAACATTCATAGGGAGCAAGATCATTCCACTTCATGTTTCTAACTGTATATGTAAGAAATTCTGAATGGAAGTAGAAATGATTGTTACTAAATGAATGAATAACTGAGTTTAATAGGTTACTTTGGAGTTTCAATGTTTCATGATTTGTTGTTTCTTATTTAATATTTGGCTTTTAACTTATACAAGAGGGTTCAGGAAAGAGTTAGAACAGACTGTGCATCAGACAGAAAAACACTTGCAAATAAATATTCTGTAATAAAGTAAGCTGGTGTGCGGAAAACCAGAAATACGTAGATACACACCTATGTAGGAACTGTTTGACTGTTTTTAGTGCAAAAGTACATAATAGGCTACCTATGTTCTGTCACCATGGGGAATTCGATTTTAGTGTTGTCTGTTCATAAGCTTACCACTGATTCATAAGTGGACCTTGTGTAGAAATACTGTTCATGAAGATACCGTTGCATGTATTTTGTTTAAGATACTAAAATTATCATGTGTTATAGATAATATACAAAGACTTGAAAACATTAATAACATATGAATAAGCATGTACTGCAGTCTAGTAATAGGTAGGCAAACAATGAATTATAAGTATAAGGAATAGTTTTATTAATGGTGGAACATACGACATGTTTCAAAAAACATTGGTCAGTCTTTTTCATCATACCTGAAGAAAACTGACCAATGTTTTCCACTTGACTTCCTAGATACCATATTTGAATTATTTCCAATAATTTGACCTAAATTATGAATAAATCAAAATGGCTATCTAAATATAGAATGATATTAAGAAAAAGGAATAAGCCAAGTACCTCTTCTCTCTCTTTATGTTTTGTAACAATCTCTTTCTTATGCAACTCGCATGCAGTTATGAATGAATTAATCATTTGTGCTTTGATACAAATGTCACAAAACGTAGCTTTTACTTTGCTGTTATATCTCAGCTATGGACACCTGAATTTCCAACTTTCCAAGAATTCACATGAACTTGGCATCCATGATGCATGAGGTGCTACACTAATTTTTTGCTGATCAACAAAGAGTACTTTATGATGGTTTTGAAATCTCAGGAATAGTTTCAACAACATAGCCGTTTGAAGCAGCTGAACAAAAATGAAAGGTGGAACGTTTAAAAATCTTTGTGTGCATGGTAAAATAAAAGTTTTGTTCATGCTTTCATACAAGGATGTGTATATATAAGACTTGAGCTAAGAAATGATACATGGATTAAATAAATTATTCCTTTATATTTTATATTCAGCTGTTGTTTTTGATGAGAATTAATCAACTCTACTTGGTCTTGGTTTGGGAGTAGCCATATGAATACCAAACATGGACTAATTTTGATAACTAATGGTTTTGATTAGTCTTTACATCATTTGATATGTCCTTTGTAAAGCATTCCACAATCTTAATTATTTTATTACCTGTTAAATTGACACTTATATGACATACACAAGCAGGTGATATTAACTACTTGTGGATTTATCTGTATAGTGAACAGATGTCATGTACCATTGTTCATGTTTTATTGTCTTCAAATGTTGGCACACAAAAAATTGAAAATGCTATATTTAGTCACTATCAAAAGTTCAAGATGCAATTCTGTCAAGGCCCAGAGTAGCCCTTGAACTTATATATTTAAAGCATAACATATTTGAAGACAACAAGGGACCATTTGATCCATCTAGGACAGTACTTCTCAACTTTTTCCAACATCTTCACCCTACAAGTTTTTCACATCTCACTCACCCCATTTTGAAAAAAAAAGTACTAAATTAAAATGTAAAATTCTTTATTATGACTTAAATATACATCAAACTACAACTAGAATGAATACAACATAAAATATTTAAAAAATGAATGTATTTATCAAACTACAAGTAGAATAAATAATAACAACGAATGACTTTTTTGCTCTTGTTTTTGTTGTATAATTGATAATACTCATACACCCTGATTCTGATGTCATTAAGCCCTGGGTGAACCGTTAACCCAGTTGAAAAGCACTGATCTAGGCTATCCCATCCACTAAACTATTAAAAAAAATCTCAAAGACAGCAATTATTATTCAAATATTTATTAAACCTTCTCTTAAATTTACTGTTTCCACCACATCCGATGGCAACCCATTCCAAAGCCCAAATATCTCGTTAGAAAAAATAAAACTGTCTCAGCTGGAGATGACTCCTACCTCCTGCCAAAATTTATATTTGTGTCTCCTAGTCCTACCATTCTCACCATTAAGGATGAGAAAAGATGATGCATAGACATTTTCAATTCCCTTAAAAAACTTAAATTATTCTTTTTTCAAGATAAAACAATTTCAGAGATCTTAACCTGTCTTTATATGACAACTTTTCCATCCCAGGTATCATTTTAGTAGTCCTCCTCTGAACCATCTCCAACAATTCAATATTGTAAGGTAAAGTGTCCAAGACTGAACACAGTACTGCAAATGTGGCTTAACTAGTTACTGATAGTCATAATGAAATTATGACCTCTTTAAGATTTTTTATTCAACATTTCTCTAGATATAACCTGAAATCCTATATGCATTATCACTTGCAAAAGCACACTAACCATAAAAGTGATATCTGATTAGAACATTCAAGCCATTATTTGACAAAAGTGTGTAACCATTTATAACTGCTGAATAAACCTGGGATGTATCCTTACAGCTCTCCAGGAAGTGATACAAGAAGTTGACTTCCAGATCTGACCCCCCAATGTCTCTCATTTGCATTGACTACGTTTATAACTGGTAAAACGCCAGACCAAATGTCACTAAATAGGGTATGTTAATATACACAGAAAAAAAAAACAACTGCTATACTTTATGTAATTATGTGCATGAATAAAGGTATTTATCTTTTTAAGTTTATAGATTATGCTTGTTCTTCAATACACTAGTGAATGCCCAAATTGTTTTTATTTATTTCTGTACAAGATCAGAAGTCAGAAAAGTGAGTCTTCTGTTGTACTGAAAAGGAAACAATGATGCTGTAGGACAGCAAGTTTAGATTGTTTCTCTTGATAAATTCACTACTTTTCATTGGATTTTTTACTTTGATCCCAATTGAAATATAAAGACATCTTCATATGTTGTTAAAAAAATTAATACATTTTGGTAACTCCTTAAATTTATCACATTAAAAGTATAATGTATATAATGTAATACCGTTAATAGCAAGGGTACCGAAAATGAATCAATGTATTCTAATCATGATAGGTTTTGATTTTCTTATAATATTATAACAAAATTTATGGACCACAAGAGACCTATTAGTCCATCTTGATGCCCTATCCATTAAAAACACAACTTATGGCCAGCTTTTATCATTCAGTTTGTTATACAGAATCAGCTTTTTTAATTTACAAGCAACGTTTGATTCTGACCTAGAAAGTTATATTAATTTTGATCATCAAGTTATTGACAACGTACTCCTCAGTGTAACTAGATCATTAATTTAGTTCTATGTAAAAAATATTAATAAACAACTTAGATAACTGTATTTATACCTGAGCTCAAGCAAAGCATTTTCTCGTGTTTCTGGACTGGACAGTTCCACTATCCACTGATAAATTTTTTCACGATCAACTGGAGGAATATTGGAATGCTGTGGAACATTCATCTTCTCCCTAAAAAATACTTTCAAGTATACAAAATGACAATTTAATGTACTAAACAGTATTATAGTTATTATTGCTTTTTGAAATTTAATTTTGCAAAAACTTTCCAGAATTGTATGGTAAAGAGGTTAATTCTTTTTCAAGATAATTTTTATCCATTACATAAGCATTTGAAATTTAAAAGTTCAATTTGTTATGTATATGGAGGAAATCAAAAACTATTCTTTTTGTCTTACTATAGACAAAAAAGTATCACAAGTGAGATAGCTAGTTAGGTTAAATGCTTGAAATTTAACATTTAAATATTGAATCAATATGGTTTCAATTGTGTTTTATATATTTGTGCAGAGCTATACAAGGATTATCTGTATTACATATCAATAATATTTTAACTGATGCTGATAGACTAGAGGAAAAGCAGCTAATTAACAGCATCCTCCTTGGGCTATTCTTACTTAATTGAATAAAATAATCTGATAGTTACTCTTATAGTCTACTCAAAGCCACAAAGTGTAGAACATAATTTTGTGGCAATGGCATGCAAACCATAAACCCTCAGATAAATAAGCTGGCATGTTAAACACTAGGCTACAACTGTCCAAACACATAATATTTAACATTTAAGAATTTGATAAATTTCACTCTATTTCAAAATGTACATAATGCCCCTAATAATTCTAAATAATCACATGTGCAATATGTTAGATTAATTACCACAAGATGTTTGAATAGAGTGAGACAGTAAAATGTGAGTAATAACTGTATCCAGGTAAATAATTAATGACCATATTGATATATCAATAAACTATAAGTAACCAATGGTGAATTAAACATTTCATATTTAAGGTTATGATAAAATATTTAATATATTTGTTGTGTTTGTAATATGTAGGTACCATTACAAGTAGTAATAAATATGAAATGTTTAATTCCCCGTTTGATACTTTGTAGTTTATCGTTTGATATTTAATTTTGATAGTCTGAAAATGAGTGGTACTATGCTCATTCTCAGATGGTATTGTTCAACAACAAACAATTCATTATGCCATGGCATAACATACACGTTAATATAAGTAAGCTCAAATACTGAGCTAAATTAGCACATACAAGTATACCAGTCACAGTTAAAACTTAAACCAAGTAACAATGAACCAAACTTTCTAAAGACTAAGTAGAACTTGAAGCCTATCATATAATATATACTATAGTAATAGTATCACCAAAACCTAATTCTCTTGTGGCTTTTCTAATTTAAATCCACATACCTATCCAATAAATTTTAATTAAATTCTATAACTTATTCCTGAATATACCTGGCCTACCATTGGTAGTGCCATTGTAATTGGTATTATTAATTCATTGTGTTTGTAGAACTCGTCGTTGTACCAATCTTAAATTTTACGTTAAACTTTGTCACCATCATTCAGTTTACAAGTATTATAATTTTAATACATCATAGTAATTAAAAAAATACTAGATTTATAAATTTAAATCTACCAAACATTTATAGTTTATAGTACTCACTCCACAGTTTTGAAATTAATCAAATTCTACGTTTTTATCAAGTTAATTTCAATACAAACCAGGCCTAAGATTACGATTATCTAATATGAGTCCCTCTAGCGGAAGGAAAATGAAGTGCTTAATGTTTTTGGAGTGTGTTCGATTACCGTCTTTAATTAATATGGCCAGGAGAGACAACTAATTTCAGAATACCTTATCGAGTTTCTTACCTATTCCCACTGAAGGGAACAAATTTACGGTAATACTAGAGCAGTGCTTCTCAACCTTTTACAATATCATTCAACCCCAATAAAGTTTTCACAACACTTTACTCACCCCATTTCGAAAAAAGACAACAAGTTATAAACTAAAATGCAAAATTCTTTATTATGACTTAAATATACATCAAACTACACTAGCATGAATACAACATAACATAAACAAAAATAAATGTATGTATCAAACTACAACTGGAACAGATATTAATAACTAAGGACTTTTTTGCTCTTGAATTTGTTGTATAATTGATAATACTCATTCACCCTGCCACCCACCCCATCATTCTCATTCAACCTTATTCTGATCTCATTAACCCCTGAATGAACCATTCACCCAGTTAAGAAGCACTGATTTAGAGGACAATATGACTACAGGCTACAAATACCGTGTTGTCCACAGGAGTTTCAGAAATGGCAAAATAAATTTAATATATACTCATGCAAACACACGTTAAAATAAAAAAATAAAGTAAATAAACAAATACAACAAATTTGCAGTGGATAGTTATGCCTTCTTAAATCGTAAATGTTCTTAACCCGTATAACCTTGACTAACCAGATCTTCAGATAACTACAGTAGTACAGGTTTAAAAAATGGATCCGTCCACAATGACAAAGACATATTTTTTATATTTTTATTACAGTAATGTTAGCTTTTAATATAATATTAAAACAGGAGGAAGAATTAGGTAACATTCACTTATTAATGCAATTATATAATATTGAGGTGGTATTCCTTCATTTTTTATTGATGAGTATTTTGTTCATATTTTGCGTACCGCTTCTCTGTCTGTCTGTCTGTCGTTTAGTTCAACTTCAATTACACTATTCTCACAGTGAGACAAAATGAATGATACAGGGGGCGCTGAAGTATTATCACAGAAGCTATATATCAAGCAGGAGAAAACACTGCCCATGTAAGAATGGCTCGGGTTGTTCATCGAAATGGTATTTTCAATATCTCCTAGCGGTATAAGTCCCCAAACATAGCACTGTGCCACTGGGGGGAGGGGAAGGGCAAGTATTTCCTCAATAGGTCATCAGAACTTTATAATACTATACGGTGTTTCATTTTATAACAATATCTATGTAATGACTGAGTCACAAGTTCTAGGATTGTTTGTAACTATCATAGCGAAAAGTTTGAATTTCTTGTTCTTCTTTCTTCCGCATCTATTTTTATTACATGATAACTCAAAAACCAAAACAATGGTGTCAATCAATTTCCCTGAGGTGACAGATTATTTTTCCCTTCATTATGTAATTTGAGCATGAAAAGATTGATACACACTGGCATTCGTTGTCGTAGCTTTTGCATTTGATGCTGAGTGGGAATGACATGTGCTGCAACTATGTGTTGGTTAATATGTAACACTGAGCAAAATATGTGTGTAAGATAGTGCATGTGTGTACCTGCTGTTACGTGTGTGTTTGTTTATTGACTTTCGCGCAAAGCTATTTGCATTAGCCGCCCCTAATTTAAAAGTATAGTTTATGGGTAAGGCAGCTAGTCAACACTGCTCATAGCCAATTCTTGAACTACTCTTTACCAACAAAAAATTGGATTTACCATCACATTATAATACTCCCATGGTTGAAAGTGGGAATTGCCTCCAACAACGGTGAAAGAAGGCGGATTGATACAAACAGCAAATGAACATAATGTTGATAGGAGGGAAGAGTTGGAAGCTACCCTTACTGTAGGAAGTTTTTCTTCAACCCTTAACGTGTGGATAATTGACATCAAGGAATAGTGCATATTGGAAATTACTTCATATAAAGACATGGATGTCAGATTAGACTAGCTTCAAATAGCTTCACAGACCATGATAAGCAAATCCCTGTGCACTACATGACAATAGTTACAACAGAAGTTGAACTTCCCAATAACAAAGAGGGCAGCCATTGTACCAACAAGAAGTAAAATACTCATCCAAGGAGTTACTAGAAACAATTTACATGTAGTGATTGTAATGTAGTAGAACTAAACACTCCAGCATTTCCTGAAGGACTGATGATTGGAAGAACTCTAGTGGATCTGAAGAACAAAGATGTCATGAATAGGGCCATGAACACAATGAACCATAAAATTCAAGTAAAGTCTATATGGGACATTGCAATATACGAGACTGTACAGTTAGTTCTTCCACGTCAAATATCAGAAGTAGTCATCTTTGAGTCAAGATGTAGGAAGTCTGATATCAAATCCTCACGTAAAGATAGCGTAAGAGAACTTAAGCTGAATCTCAATAAGTATAAGTAGGTCATTTAACATGTGAGCTTCCTAGGACACCTATTTAGCAGAGAGGTAGTGTCAACAGACCCCTGTAAGATTGAATCTGATCAGAATTGGCTAAAACCAAGAAACTTGCCTGAGATAAGAGGATTTCTTGGACTGTGCTTTTACTATTATAAAATCAATCTATGACATAGCTCGTCCTCTACACAGATTACTTGAAAAGTCAAATAACATTTTGGACTGCTGCTTTTGAACAAGCATTCAATAAACTATAGAATAATTAATCACCCCTCTTGTATTAGCATTCCCAACTATTGAAGATACATATTAGATACAAATACCAGTGACTTTGCAGTGACAGAAGTGTTATCACAAGTACAGCACAGAAAAGAAGATGTACTAACTACTACAGCAAGACAATAAATGTTGTAGAAAGGAGATTTTGTACAACTTGGAAAGAGATACTAAGCATTGTTTGAGTTATAAGTAATTTCCACCATTACCTATATGTGTAAAAGTTTACTCTTTGGACTGAGCAATGCAGCATCCAAGTGGCTGGTGAATTTTCACAATCAAGAGAGTCAAATAACAAAATGACTACAAAAATTCCAGCAGAACAACTTTAATATCATATATTATCCTGGACAAAACCGTAGAAATGCTGATGCTTTATCCCAAAGACTATATATATTAATTAAGATTATAAACACTGTGAAAAGAGGAAAGCACAAGATAGTAAAGATGACTAACATAAATACAATATAGTGTAATCCATGTTGTAACATCCAAAAGCGATGATAAGAGTTTGAAACCAATTGTTCAGTTGATCAAGAACAATACAGAAAAACCCTTGTGGCAAACAGTCACTCCATACAGCCCGAAGACAAAGATGTATTGAGCACAGTGGGATTCATTATGCTTACAAGAGGGATTGTTAAGTCGGAAATGAGAACACACCAGTGGATAGAAACAGCACCTACAGTTGGTATTTTGATTGTCTCTACATTCAGAAGCACTCTGTCATCTCCACAACATTCCAACAACTGGACACTTAAGTGTTAAGAAGACTAGATATAATAAGAGACTGCTTCTATTGGGTTGGGTGTTGGTAATCTGCATAAAATTGGTGTAAATGATATAAACTATGCTGTGAGCAAAATGGTTAAAAGTAACAGCATAGGCAGCTGCTGGAGTATTGTATTGGAACACCACTTGAAAGAGTTGCTGTCAGTGTGCTTATCCCTTTGCCACAGAGTAACTGTGGAAATAAATACATCATGGTTGTGAAGGGCTATTTCACGAAATCGCTAGAAGCATATGTTCTTCATAACCACGAATCAGAAACTTTAGGAAAGAACCTGTCAACGAAACGTTTCAAGACATTGTGTGCCTACGAAACCTCACTGTGACCAAGACCGGAACTTTGAATCAGTCTTGTTTGCAGAAATGTCAAATCCTTGGACTAAAAAGGCCTGAACTAAAGCTCTTCATCCATTTTCTGACATCATGGGGAAAAGACACAACCATGCACTAATAAATCAATCAGTCATTTATATTGATGAACATCAGAAAATGTGCGATTGAGATCGTTCACTGCTACAAAACATTAGTGCATTAAGCTACACTCAATGTACCATCATCACTGATGTTTGTAAGAGATCTTAAAGTACATTGGACCTTCTGTACTCAAATCTAGAGGATAATCACTCAGCAGAGTCTTACACAGAAGCACTCTGTCATCTCCACAACATTCCAACAACTGGACAAGCGACTAAAGAACAATACTGAGGTCATACAGGACTTTACTTTACCTGGTGATAAAATAAAGAGTTGCTATGGTGTTAATGCTGATTAGACTGGATTACATTGAGGTGTTATGATATGACCATACAATCCCCATCATAAGCATGAACAAACTCTCAAGTTAAGTAGATGTTAGAAGGAACCATGTGTTGTACTGAAAAAAATCCAAGATGTAGTATACATAAGCAAGAGTGACAGGCAATTCAAGCCAATGGTTATCCATCATGATAATCTTTGGAAATATGTTGCTTAAAAAATGGCCAACTGGGTCACTCCACAGAAAAATTTGTCAGTAGAAAGTCAACTTACTAAGAAGCCCAGGGTTCCTTTCAAGATTACTTCCAGAAGATCAGCAAGGATGGAACTACCAGGATAAGGATAAGAGGCCATTCCTTCTGTATGTCACAACCCTCAGAAAAGAAACCAACCAAAAAGACTTGGTGAGTGGACAGTTTAATGAACTGTTTTATTTGTGCATTAGGATTGTACAAGGGACTCCACAATGCAGAAAGGGGTGGTTTTGTAAACTATACTTTCAATGTTATAATTTTTGAATAGTTCATCATTACAATGACGTTAAGATCTATACATTTAATAGAAGTTAAGAATTGAGAAAGTTACAATATAAATAGGAGTGATATGTTGTGTGAGGTATTCAATGAGTAATTATTGAGAGAGTGATTCAGTTCACTGTTTGTAGTGAGAGTTATCACATCTATTCAGTCACTCGATTGATTAGCCAAGGAATTATGCAAGTAAGTTTATAAATAATTTAGGAGTATATACCATTAGTCTTGGAATTTCTGTTGAAATGTTGTTTATGAACTTGAGCCTACAACTTGAAGAAATAAGTTGATTAGCTTGTTACATGGAATGGACTTGGCATTATGTTGATCACATAATCCAAAAGGATCCACATTACAACTATATAAATAATGATAATGGATGGATAAAATTTATTGGTGCACTTTCTTTCCAACAACAATGAATTTATTCTATCCTGAGTTAATTGGTATGTTGTTAAGCACAAAGCTACAGAATGGGTTGTCTATGTTCTACCCACTCTCAATATTGAAAACTGATTTTGAGAATTATAAGTCTGCAGATTCACAACTGGGTCACTGTAGGGCTTCTTCTATCCTAATGATCATCTTTTAAAGTCTTAATTTTCAATAGAATGTTTTTGTAAAATTCATAGAATATTTTTGAATATTTTATTTCATAATTTTAAGCATCTGATTATAACAATTCCAGTTAAAATCTGTTATGAAGAATCATGTGGACAGTTATTACATATATCCATTTTTAGTAGAATTGAACTTGCTTATATCATCTTATTAACCCTTATGATCCTTGAATTTTTATATAATCAATTCATAATAATTTCATTGAATCTATATATTTCTTAAGCAAAAATTACACACACTTAAACTTGAATAGGAAAATTTTATGGAATCTAGAAAACCTCAGTACACTATAACTTCTGGGTATTTACAAACATTTATCTTAACTAGCAATATTCAAACCCCCTACCCTCCCAGGTAGCTCAGCAATATGTATGAAGGCTTATAATTCTAACAATCAAGTTATGATACCAGTTGTGGACATAGCACAGATAGCACATTCTATAGCTTTGTGCTTAAGAGAAAACAGACAACATTAAATAATTGTAAGGTTCGAATTCATAAGACCATGGAATCCTTGACTGGTACTTTCAGTTCATTAAAAATAAAAAATAAGTAATATTAATAAATAATATTCAGTTTATAGAATGACTGTGCAATGTTTTAAATCATTAGAATTTGTAAAACATTGCTCATAAAAATATGCCATGCAAAGGTGTTGTTTAATATAACCTTTTATGACAGCTACATAACATACCCTACTGCTGTCATATATTTTCTTAATACTGTTGTAAGCTGTATTTTCGATGTTTTATTTTATAATTTTTCTATAGAGAGATGCTAATCGTGATGATTATACAATAATGATAAACTTTGACTAACATCTAGATGTGTGCATTAGTTATAAAGACGATTAATGGGTAATGAAAGAGCAGTTAGTTCAGTGATTGAGAATTGAGTGAAGTATTTAGTGTATTAATAACTGAGAGAAGATTTTGATAAAGTAAGGACACTTAGTAAGAGTTATTGCTTTTGTTAAGCTAACAGTAAATTAGCCAGGTTTACTATCAACCGAGGGAATTTCTCTTAAGTGTTATATTTGTTTTAGGCCTACTATAGTTTCAGAGTTTATATTGAAAGTTTGTTTGTGAACTTAGGCCTACAGCTTGCATCAAAGTGAACGTAGCCTATGGCAAGCGATAAAGAAGAAATAAACTAATTTGTTATCGTTATATAGACTGTATGTTTCCTTATTTATACCAAATAATCCAAAATAATTCGTCCGACGATAGAACGCAATACAGCAATACTTTTAACAGAACACTACTATCTACATTTGTTTGGTGATTGTTTTCATTTCTGATACTGCATTAGTAAAAGTTATAAGAACTGTCATATCACTTTCGTCTAGTTATCGGAATTTATTTGTTTTGTCTGTGCTGCTATCTAGCGAGAAGAAAGTTAATACTTAAAAAAACAAAAAAACAAGACTAGTGGAGAAAGTCTTTTGTGATTGGACCAAGGAGTCTGAGCGAAAACATTTGCGTCGACTCGGAGTCTAGATACACAGTAGTTCGTGGTTTGAAAGTATGACAAGGATAATTTGTGTTATTTGAGTAGTATCAGGCAAAGAAGTAATGATAAACAGGAAACGATAAATAATACGTGCATGTTTGTGGGTGTCAAAAACTAGAATTGTGTTTAAGATAATGGATATATGCATAACAATTAGCATGTGAAAGTTAACGGGTACAATATTAATACGTCAAACTGTTAAAAATATGGGAAACTCGGAAAGTTCACATAGTACTGGAGTTAATCATAGTCATATGGCTTCGTTACGAAAACATTCCGGAGTTGATGGCATCAAAATGCCCATGCCAGAACGAAATGAGTTAGAAAGAAGATTCACTTTAGTTTTGGTAAGCTTTAAAATATATCTATTTCTTGGCGCAATGAATAAATAGTGTTATATATATTTTACACTTTTAATTCAAAATGCTATCGCAATTTATCGTATAAATTTAAACAAATAACTTTTCAAAGTATAAGTTGCCCTAGTCATAGTAGCAGCAGTACAGTAATACAAATAATAATATTCCTATCTGGTCATAGGCCTTAGTCCAAACTTCTGAGCACGCGGTGTGACCAGCAAGGCACAATACTTTAACAGAATTAATACTCGACTCAAGTTGTGGTGTCGCTACTCTTAATAAAATATTGTTTTTGTTTTTATAAAACCACGTGTTATAGAAGATGTACAATAAAGAACTGAACAAATAAAGTATAACCTTATACACTAAAAAAATGTTGACATTACTATTTTTATTATGAAAAACCTTTTTTTTCATTACAGTATAATGTTGTTTTTAAAGTTTAATTTTAAAGCATAATAATCATGTTAATACAAAGAAAAACTTTAGCCAGGCTACACATTTGCGATTGGCAAGTAGAAAAATAATTTAGAAATAAAGCCACGTTTTGAAGAGTTAGTATTAGATTATTTTATTTTAAATATTGGAGAGGTTTTGAAATATTTTATTACGCAAGTTTATTAGTTTGTTTTGAACCAGAATGTTTTATAATCTATGATTACGATGCTTCTACATTATTATCACTGTATTAGTAACTAGATGGTATCATTAAATGTAATTCGATGTCAGATATGCCGTCCTTCATACTTGACTTTTAATATTAGTTATACTAAACGTTTTAGTTTACACAATTCTCCATCGATGTTTTACGTACTTTAGTTTAACAGTACTGACATAAGCTTCTTTGAGCTGTGATAAGATCTTTATAAACTAGTACATTTTTTTGATAATAAATAAATTATAAAGTCAAAGTTAACGAACTTAATTTTTATGTTGTAATTTTGGTGTCAAGTAGAGGGCGTTTAACGTTAAGATCAATTTGTGAGAGTAGGCCTAGAAAATTTTAAACTAATGTCACAAAAACATAGAGGTTTTGCGAAATATCTAGAAGAAGGATTAGATATAAATACGGATGAGCTAGTTAATAAGGAAAAAAAGCTTGTAGTGAAACACTGAAGCATTAAGAAGGTAGTTGTTTTCTAGCCTGTAGAGTAAATCAATCAATATGGTTACGTTTTTGGATCTTTGAAAGCCGTCGCTAACATGGATTTACCTTGTGCGAGTAAGTTGATTTTTACGTTAGCGTAGTACAAGTGGCATGACTGTAAAGTAAGCCTAAAATATGTACAAGTCTGCAAAGAAACGTTAATGAGTTAATAAAACTAATGTGTTATTGTTACTTGGACTGGACTTCGTATTGTTTTCATCAGATAATTTAAAAGAACCTGTCAACGAAAGAACAACCTTACAACAATATATATGTATTGTATTTATAAATGAAAACTAGATTTTGAATGTTATGTCCAACCACTAACTATAATATATTCTACTTTATGGTGAGAAAAATTAAACTGTAAATTACCTTCCTTTCAAGGGATTATGAACAATTATTCATGGCATGACCTGCACAATCAAGTGTTTGGTGGTTTTATTGTAAAGGTACATGGGCTTCATAAAGCAATACAGACGTAAGATGTGCATCATGAATTTAGTGTTTACTAGTATTTATATTACTTATTACACTGTAAACACCACTGATCAAAAGGATTTGCAAAAGTGACATTTTGAGGTGATAAGTTCAGTTTTCTACACACTGAAAGTTGAATGGAAGTTATAGAGGATTGCTATCAACAAACGTCTGTTAAAAAACTGAAGATATGTATGATACAGACCAAAATATGTTAAAAACAAGAAATTGTAATATAAGAAAGTGTTATAAAAAGTTTCAAATTTATTTATTTTAACATTTTTTCTAAACTAAAGACCACGGTGCATTATGTTAATTTATCATTTTTGAAGTTATAAAAAGTTTTAAACACATACATTATTTCCCAAAGTAAGTCAGTTGTGTCACAAAAATATGAAAAAGAACATGTGGATTGCTTTATTCATCAATTATGCAATTGTTAGTTTGTTTACAGTGTTTTTTTCTTCAAAAGTTATACTAGAAATTCAATTGAACCTACCTACAAACATACATATATATAGAACATTTGGCTTTAAATTACTGCTACAAATTCCCAGTTTGCTTTACAATTACATCCACTTCTCTATTTTTCAACATATTTACATAATATATTCAACGTGTAACACAAGACAAGACAATTATTCATTAATGCTCTCATTCTTCTTTGTGTAATTTTGACTATTTTGGGCATAAATAAGTATATTTTATGTATCATATGTGCAAATGGTTACTTGAATAAATATTTTTTTGAACTGAATATAAATTTTTGCTTAACTTGTATATCTTATATCTAAACATCACATTAGCTGTATTTAAGTATTTCTATTACGTATACAAAAATAAAACTTTGTAATAACTATTATATAGACTTATGGAAATTATAATTCACTGAAATTGAATAATTTCATCTAGTACTCTTAGTAAGATTGCTTTATTTTTTGTTTAATGGGCCTACCATTAAAGTGGCATACTAAGTTATGCCCAGTCTGGCTTATTCTTTAACTTGTGAACAGTTTTTATTATCATAAGTACTTTTATTTGTTAAGAGAATTTTGGCAATTATAGAAAAAATGAACTATTTGTCTTAAGACGTAATTCATAAACACGTTCATTGTGTGGGTAAAGATGTTACATAATTGAGATTTTATGACAGTATTCTTGCACTAACATGGTAATTAATACAAATTTAACACGTTCATTGTGTGGGTAAAGATGTTACATAATTGAGATTTTATGACAGTATTCTTGCACTAACATGGTAATTAATACAAATTTGGAGCATAGTGCTTATGTAACTGGTTTAACTAGTATGTTAGATCTAAAAAAATGTAAACCTTTAGGCTTAGGCTTATATATTGTACAAATATTTACATTAATCTAAAACAGTATAGCAGAGAAAGCTAAAATTGATCACTGCACCCATCTAAAATCTGTGGGCTAAATTACTTCAATCATATGTTATTAAAAGCAATATTGTTCTGATCACATTGCAGTTTAAAACAAAAAAGTTTATCTGTAACTTTTTCAAATTGTGTATGAAATAATGTTAATGATTATATAGCTTGAAGTTTAATGGTTTATGTTTGCCTAGGCAAAAAATAATCTATGCATCTCTGAACCAATTTTCTATAAGCCAAACTGTTCACCCTTTTATCCCATGACAGTGCTTTTTATTAGTATAAACTTGTCTTTGGCTTATTTCTAAAATGTTATTTCATAGGACATTAGTGTTTACAGTGAGAAGTATCAGATCTTGGTCCCAAATCTTTTTTCTGTTTCCATGTACATAGCCAATTGGTTTAATACCATATATATTCCACCTAAATAAGGAAGAGTTGTTGTCCTGACTTTCCTTATCATAACATTTTGCATGTTTTTGACATTATATACAATTATGCACATCTTGAAAATTCTGTGGGTACTGAATACTTTGATATAAACTCATTAAACAATTTATACAGATTACTCAACATTTTCTTTAGTTACAGCATATTCCTCTTAACCATTTAGTCAAATATTTCACCACAGTTAATCTGCTTATATCATTTTACTGTTCATAGGACACTAAACTCCTACACTAAGAAGCAATACAATGCATGGTTGTTTTAACCTTTGGCATTGCCTCTTCTGGAATATTTATCTTTTATAACACTGGCTGCAGATGCAGCACCTTTATTATATAGCTTAAGGATAATTAACCTAGTTGAGCATTTCACATATCCACCTTAGAATTTTTTAACAACAAAGTCTCCATCTGTTAGAAGATTGTGGAGATTACAAAGTGCATCTGAATGTACTAACTACAAATGTTCTATAGCTTCTTTTTCTATCCTACATTATATGTAGGATGTTGCCATTTAGCTTAAGAAAACCTGAGTTCGGTTTATCTTAATTTCAACACTGTTGGGAGCTAATGTCAGTACATATTATTTTCATATTTCACTTGTAATTACTATAATGATAAGGCCAATATACAGTCCAGATGCTGAGCATCATGAAGTTGTGTTGTGAACTATATTAATTCATCACCATTCTGTAAAGATACTTCAAGAATTTACTCTATGATGGCTCTGTTGATTTTGAGGAATATTTGGCATCAACAAAACATTTAACTCTTTACTGGAAAGCCTCTTCCTTCACAAAACATCAGCATTCTTATGAACCCATTCAGGGGAATTTTATCTTATGGTGCCTTCACCATTCATTTGGTTGTTCATGAATATCATTTTCTTTTTGCATCTGACAATTTTGATTTTTACTAGGGTAAAATATGGCTTGGCATCATCTAACATGATATCTCTGTCTAGCATAATGTCTTGGTTTCTTGATTAGAAATAGTTTCAATTTTAAGTGATGGGTCATTAAGGTATTCTGCCAAGTCAAAGAGAACTGTTGTAATGATTCTTCCATTCCTAGCAAAAGTTCTGAACTGTATCACAAGTCTTATTGGGACTGAGCTCTAGGGAAGTTGAACAGCTCCTCTCAGGATAATAATGCTTTTATTTTTCTTCAGGCTGATGTGTTTATCTTCAGTCTCCATCATGAATGTTCTCATTGAATATATGGTCTTCTAGTTGCTCCTGGATATATGTAGCCCAGCTAAACAGCATTTGTTTTAAATCTTTAAAGAGTTTTATAAGAGATTCTTTTCTTTGAATTGTAGTTTGTAACTTAAAATGAATGGGAAGAATAGAGATTTACTGGAAATCATTTTGGCTTTCTTGTTGTAGGATGCTTATTATCTTATCAAGGCAGATTCTTTAAGCTAGGTAACTAGGTGAAAAACTTGTTTTCAGTGTTCTCTTCATTTACTTGAATATAATAATCTCAAATTGAGTTTGATATGCTGCTTCTCATAGTA